ATAGATATAGATAAGGTGGCTGTGCTATTTACAATAGTTTTCCACATCATCTTATTTTTTATTCAGCAGCCTGACAGCAGTCGCTAGGAACGAGCCAAGTCTTTGGCTGAAGGAGCTACCTAGTGCTGTCAGGGCGGGCCTGGAGGGGGTGGGAGGGACTGTCCATCATAGCTTTTAGCTTAGCTAGCATCCTCCTGTTGCCCACCTCCTCCAGAGTGTCCAGGGAGCAGCCCAGGACAGAACTGGCCCTCCTGACCAGTCGCTTAGGGATAGGGAGGGAGAATTATGGAGGGATGAAACAAAAAAAAAAACAACATTCTTAATGTGATTTTAACATGGATGGGTCTGGAAGGTATACCCCTCAAATAAACAGGAGTTCACTGAATAGAGATGAGATAGGTGCATCCAGTGTAAAGTGATCAGTTGGGGGATTTGCATTAAACATACAGACTACTACTCAGGGTGAATCCAGACACAAGGAAGTCTCCCTGGGCATTGTGGTATCAAAGCTCTGTGCTAATGAGCCTTTCATTTCCTGCTCCGTCTGCAATAATAAATTAGCGAGCTCGGGAATCGATAGCACACAGTTCGAAAAACTTCCTTGTTGTAAGTGAAGGGCAGGCGGCGGGAAGCAGGCCAAGAGATGAACTGAAAAACAGGAAATGGGGATATTATCCTCATCGAGCAAAAAGAAAGAGATAAATGGCCGTGGTCGAATGCAATAAATGCTTCATGACATTAGATGCATCATGATTGTGAACTGCTAGTTCAATTGTTTGAGGTTTGGACTAGTCCAAACAAGCTTGCTTTGGCGCCATTTCATGGCATCTTGGTGCTATGAATGGTGTTAAAATGTCGTGCTTCATTTTGACCAGAGCAATATTTCAAATAAAATTAATGCTCTGCCACCATCTTGTGGCATCTATAGGCAAATGTAAACCCTTATTGGGCAAGGCAAGGCAGTTTTATTTACATAGCACAATTCTTGCACAAAGTAACTCAATGTGCTTCACACAAGCAATTACTTGGGGGTTAATTACTCTCAAATTTATGTCAGGGTTATATTCAAACACTAAAATTATAGTCCCTTATGTTAACCCATGGATACTATTTGCTAACATATGATGCAAAATTTTGTAGGTGGGCGGTTGTCCACATCCATATTCTAATCTGTTTTTCCTCACAAGAGTCGCGGGCGTGCTGGAGGCTATCCCAGCTGTTTTAGGACAACAGGCACGGTACACCCTGAACTGGCCATGAAAAAAAAAAAAATCATCCTCTTGTGCTGACTCATGGTGATGGCAAATGCCTGATAGGAATTTTCCATGTTTCCGCCGGGACGGTAGGATTCACGGACAGATGACATTTGCAAGATGGTGCTTTTCCTGTGGCTGTTGGGTCTGTAAATTCCTTGTTAGATATTGTGATGAGAACATAGATGGAAAATGTGCAAATGGCATCACTTTTGTTCTAAAAAAGACAAGTTAATAATTTTAAAATCAACCCTTATTAATTCGTTTTATATATATATATATATATATATATATATTTAAGAACACCAAACGGCACCAACTGAGTGTTTCAGTGGCGGCCGTGCATTTGAGACATGAGCTTTCAGTGGAGACTTGAGAGAGAGCAAGAGAGCGAAAGCGAGAGAGAGATTCATTTATTTAGTGAAAAAAAAAAAACGTGTCCCAATACTTTAGAGCTACAGTGAGATGGACTTTTTAGGGTATTTGGGGCATGGCGTCCTGAAAGATTTCCTGTATGCTGGTGCAGGGCTTGGAAAAAAAAATGGAGATTGGGATCTTCTGAGTCACACCTTCCAAATGCTGCAGCACATCTACTTTTCCTCCCACCCCCCTCTATTTTGTGAGGTTACCTCACAAAATTCCAGGGACTGGACAAGTTTAGTAAACAAGATGACATTTTTATAAAGAATCCTTTCAAACTACTTAGCAGGATCAAATGTACAATGTAACGTATGTGTTGCTACCCTCTGTCGGCGAACGGTGAGTAGTACATGAAGCACGTTCAGTTGTCTTTTTTTTTTTTTTTACTGTTTTCGTGATTGTTTTTGAAAACTGGCGTTATCTCCCTCATAATTAGAACTTCATTTCTCCTCATAATTTACAAAAAATGTTTCAGGATAAATGAAGGAAATTCCAGCAAAAATGTAATTTGTTTCAATAAATGGAGAACGGGACTAAAATCAAAAGCAAATCCCAGTCAAAGCAAAAACCGTTGTGTTCAATGTCAATGTCATTCACTTTTTTTCTATAAAGGGGGGGGGAGTCGATTACAATCGAAAATAGAAGGCAAATTCGATCAACAAAAAAAAATCAAAATGAAAAAAGAAAAACTTGTTTTGAATGTCAGTTATATTCTTTGTCCATAAGCAAAATCGAAAATCTATTTTATTTTTTATTTTTTGTGAAAAGAAAAAAATCTGAGGTTTTATCTTAAGTCCATAAATTATTTAAAAAAAAAACAAAAAAAACAGTGGGCAGAATCTTCCGATGTCTTCAGTTTATTGGCGGCGCAATAAAAACACAGAACAGTATACTGTATTTAAAAACAAATGACACAATTACCGGAATAATCTAAACGATAAAAAGCATTCACAAATTTCATCTTTGACACATCCAAACCACAAACATCAGGCACAGATTTGGTCTGCGATAACTTTGGAACTAGAGGCAGGACAAAATACTGGTATCGGTCCATATCGTATTGATATCGCTACAGTATTGATAAAGCAAATAGTCGTATCGTTACTGTCTCATTTGCCTTTTGATTCCTCCTAAAAAAACACCAATATCACAATCGTCGGTCGGTATTACAATATCGTATCGTATCCCATTTCTAGTTCACATAAGCACACCTGTCAACTTTTGGTGAAGAAATTCATTGGTCTTTAACCTGAGTGCAGCTTTCTTTTTAAAAGAGTTCCTTCTGTACACTAGCAAAAAGGCAGGGATACATGGTGGAATTTCACCCTGAATATGAAATTTAATTCATGCAAATAGCGTACTCTTTGAACATCCAGCATTATACCCAATATCAATTTCTTAATCTTCAACCTCACACAACAAATTGCGAATACCAGTGTTTTTACGTCACAAAACAAGAAAAAAAACAAGCTAAGAAACAGCAAGCGCCTTAAAAAAACAAAATAAAACAAAAAAAAAACGTTTGACAGAAGCAGCGATCACTGAACGTAAACATTTCAAGTAATCTTGACAGGAAACAATGTCTTCTCACGCACAAAAAGAACCAAAACGGTGTCCTTAATTCACCGTTATTTTGAATAGAAATCCGACAACTCTTTCCGTGATTGTCCTATGTTGGAAAGAAAATAAATACGGTGATACTTAACGAAAACAGGCTAACCACTCATCTTTACAGCAGCTCAGATTGACCAACCTGACCAGCAGGTGGTGCCCTAATCGTGACCCACTTTCACACAGCCAATCAACGGCTTTTTAAAATGTTTGATTTTTCATATTGGTAATACTGAAGACGAGTCAAGCCAATCGACAGCTAGCATCTCTGACAAGTCAGTGATAAGTCACCAGGCAGTTTTATCGGAAATCAATACAAATCTCAACCTTTCCTTATGTCAAATCCATTCTTCCGATTCCAAAATAACACCCCAACGTATATCCTAGCGCTTAACAATAAAAACATAAAGTAGTGTGTTTAAAAAGAAGCACCGATATGCGCGTGTGAATTCATGAATTACGCTCGCGCATGTATTAGAAATGGGAAGGCATTAGCAATGTTGTGATTTGATTTCCACCCGAGGATGATTACCTTCAGACTTTCATGCAACATTTGGTGCACTGAGCAACAAGCCATTTTTTAAAATTCAAAGTTGTAACTTGAGCCAAATTCCGAAAAAAGTCTTTCTTCAGCTTCTGAAATAACACGCTAGTGTATCTCATCTTTTTTATTTTTAAGTAGTGTGAACACCAACAACCAATGTGCGTGTATAAACTCATAAGGATATATACAAGCACAGATATTGGAAATCAGAAGGATTAGCATTAACAATGGCGGGAGTTGATTTACACCTTGTCAAGGTTAATATCTTGGACTTTAACACAGTGCTACCGCTACATACATAAAGCGCATACATGACACCGGGTGTATCCAGCAACTAAGCATTAAGGCAATTTTTTAAATTAAAATTTGCCTAAATTCCATTATGGATTAATCTTTTTCAATCTGAAATAACTACGCACAAGAAATTTTTATGGGCTTATCTTTCTAAGTGGTGTGAGCACATACACCAAGAGGTGTGGGTGTTTAAATCATTATTTATGGTAGCGCATACATACGAAATCAAAATAATTAGCACTAGCAATAATGGGAATTTCCATCTCAGAAGCGTGACAATTTCTGACTCTTACGCAGTATTAGGTGCTGTACATAAACTGCATATTTAACAGCTAGCACCTGTGACAAGTCACTTCCACCCAGAAATCTTAACATCTGCCCAAAATCTAACATGTATATCCAACAGGTCCTTCTAATTCCGAATTAACTACATACTAACGTATAGTGTGGGTCTTAAAGGGGGGGGGAGAAACTACCGACCGGTAAGTAGTGTGATTGAGTATAGAAAACCAAGACGAGCACATGAATTGTTGATTCATGTAACTACAGGGATCAAAAATGGAAAGGATTAACATTAGCGATGTTTGGGAGGGTTAGCATCTGATTTGTACTGAGTGTTTACGTGAGACAGAAGGTCATTTGAGGCAATGAAGATTAATTGTGTGCTTTCTGATTCACACTACCAACATGATCAAATTCTACGAGGTAACATTTAGTGCTTCACCATTAACACAAATTGTCAACTCGTGAATTTTTGTCTCAGTTAACATGTAGTTGTCCTACTTGTATACCAAAGTTGCGCCACACATTTCAGAGTTGCCTACGTGATATTTGAACTTTTTCAGAAAACTATCAACAACAATTGGGCTTTTGTTTTTTTTTGTTTTGTTAAACATTCTGACACTTGATAGCTTGAGATTGTTTCCCTCCCATCAAACTTTAAATTATGATTTAGGAAGCTGTTATTATGCTAATGATTTTTGATACCTTCCAAGATCTGTGCAAAAGGATATGGAATGAGAATACTGCAGATTTTCCAGCTTTCGAGGTAGGATCAAGGAGAGGACGGCAGATGTAAGAAAATGGACAGCGGAAAAGGCGGGACTCGGGTGTGACCAGACACGGATGCCATTAAATTTGCAGGATGCTGCGTTTCAGTGTGAAAGGTTGCTAAATTAGTCTCGTCTCTGAAATGCCAATTTTGTTGAAACTGAACTTCAATGTCAAAGGATAAGGAATGACCTGAGGATTTTCCAGCTTCTGAGGTAGCACCAGAGGCAGGACAGCAGCTACTAGAGAGGGAATAGCAGTAAACACCAGACACTGCTCGAAAACTAATGTAATCATCCTTTTGTGGTATGAAATCATATACACTGCTTTGTTGAGTGGCTGGACTCCATATGAAAGGCACCGGTCGATAAGTGATTAAATCTATCTCTGATACGCAGATTTTCGCAGAAACTCTTCTCGCAAGGGGACACTGACAGCATTGTGTTAACAGTCCACATTGACTATGTTCCCATGCTTCATTTCTCACGTATATATTCCTCTATAATACAGCATTTTGGAGGCCCCCCCAGTGGAGAGCGGACACAGTGTTAAAGCGTTATAAATAGTTACAGCCATATAATTACGTGCCCCAAAGAAAGGCACACTTTTGGCTGAAGCTCTTTGTACAGCAAAGCAAGAAGATCAAATTGGAAAAAAAAAAGCAAGGTGCCACTTGTTGATACAGGGGGCCCTCAAGTGTTTTTTTTTTTCCATCTAAAAATGATCGAGCACAACACAATACATTGATAAAAGTCACTTGGTAAGATTTAGATAGGCCTGATGCGAGAAACTAAAATGTACTTTTTGTTTGGAAAGCACTAACCCTCAACCATGTTATTTAGCTTTGAATTGTAATTAGGACATGAGGTTATGGATAACCCTACAACTGTGCATTAAGAATCAATCTACCATTTGTGGGAGTACTCTGACTGCAAAATCGCGACACATACACAAACACTGGCGCTCCCAAAGGAGGAAACGTTTCCGGGATGAAGTTCCAAGTGAGCATGACGACAAGCTGCCAACTTTTAAATGACATCCCCTCTTCTGCTCAAAGTAATGGTCTAAACCTTCGGGTGGGTGTGACGTCGAGGGGGGTTGGGCGCTTCCTACTGGCAGTTGAGATCTGGCTGGTTGAGCCAGGACCAGATCTGGATCATCTCCTGTGGCGTGCGTGGGTGGACCAGCATCAGGCCCTTGTAGGCGCAAGGGTTGGAGCGGTACTTCTCCTCGATGTCGAAGGTGCGAAAGCCCTTATGCTTCTCGGGGGCCAGCCCCGCCTTCATCAGGCACATGCCCGTGTAGACGTCGTCGATGGGGTAGAGCGCCACCCGGCGGGAGGTAGCGTGCAGGCGGGTGGCGACGCTGGCCGAGTACAGGTAGCCACCGCCGCCGGCGTAAGGTGGGTACGAGCCGATGTACATGCTCTCCGGGATGAAGTACTTGACCTTCTTGTCCCGGTGCGGCCCGGCATTGGTGATGACGTCACCCACGAAGAGGTCTGCAGCTTTGGACGGCGACAGCCCATCCAGGAAGCTCAGGATTGCATAGGTGTTGACAAAGACGTCATCGTCTCCCTTGAAAACGAAGCTGGCACCGGCGCAACGTGTCTGTATCCAGTCTAGAAAGAGAACCTCCTTGATTGTGAGGTTGAAGAAGGAGTCCCGGTAGTCCCACTGGATGATGTCCCGATGTCGGTCGCTCTCGTAGCTTAGCATCGGCAACAGGTCCGGGTAGTGGTCCCCCGATGTGGTCTGGCCCAGGAGGAAGACCGTCACGACGGTCCGGTTGGCGACCGCCCCCGCCTTCCCCCACGACTGGCGTATGGCCTGACGCCTGTCAAAATGCGGCGCCAGGGACTTGACAGCTAGCAGCAGGAAGGGTGGCTCCTTGCAGATGTCCGGCTGGTCCACCAGAACTGGGTAATAGCGGCAGTGCATGTAGAGCAGAAAGTCCTTGAATCGCAAAGGTAGAGAGTTGTAATCTTTCACCTGAGTGGTCACCCCGGTGTCCGGCTGGCAGGGTTCAAAAGACAAATGGGTTTCATTGAGCCAACCGGGCAAGTCGGCGCCGCTGCGATTGCCGAGGATGGGGTTGTTCCAGAAGTCCAGAACCTGCTGCTGACGGTTCCAGTAGCCCGAGTTGGGCGTCATCTTGTTCCAGAAGGGCTTGGAGGGGACCCGCACTTTCTCCTGGAAGCCCTTGCCCCGCCCGTTGTGTCGGGAGATCAGGATGAAGATGAAGACGTTGACCATTGTCACAGTCAACAGAATCTTCAGTCTCCACCGCAGCAGTGCCATGATGCCGTCGTGCACCTGAACACACAAAACGCACCAATTTTCACAATTGGAAAAATACCCTATAGCGTTTTTTTGTCATTTTAGGTACGGCTTATTGAAACTTGTTTGTGATTCGACACACGATGGACAGAACTACCAAATTTCAGATTTCTACGGTGACTAACTTGGATGAATTTTCAACACATTTCAGTTGGACAGCTTCGTCTGAAGGAGCGCTGATAATTGCCAAAATTCCCTTCAAAAGATGTCTTCACAACCAAAATAGCAGACTATCAAGTCCAGTGTCAGGTGTGCTTTCTGTGAGTCAGCAAATGGAATCATAATCAAATATCACGCCGGTGATTGAATCTGGCTTCAAGGGCGGCATTTTCATTGTATTCCAGCAGACGCTCATCTTTGACAGACTTCAGGACAATTGCCAAACAAACAAATCAGCAGACTTCCTGCGTCTCTTGAGGAATCGCTGGTTCGTGACTTTGTGGATCAACTCATATTTCACTTGCCTAACAATTTTGTGTTGCTAAGTGAAACCGGCTTTACGGGCACAATTTTCAACATATTCCGGCTAAGGGGGACCTTTACCATATGTGTCGATGTGTGTCGATAGATAAATAAACAGATAAGATGTGTGTCTATGAAGCGTCCTCATCATTCGCCCCTCGGGACATGAGGTGCTCTGATAAGTTTTACGTAAATGAGAATCACCCACAAAAAAAGTGTTCACCAGTCCGGCGATCGCTCACTATGCTGATGTTTGCCTTGGACATTTTCGAAGGATCGTTAAAAGCCGACAAACGCAAACGTCCTTGGATCAGTTCTTTACAAAACGCCAGGCAAAAAACACTTCTGAGAGAGAACCTGATCTAAAGTGGGCAAAAAATAATGAGGATGCAGTTAAAAGTTAAATGACCATTTTTATTCTTGACTCGATTCTTTGTTTTTCACATGATGCGCACTCTCATTTATTGTGCAATAATGTAATTGTAACATGTATTTGTTACATATTTTGACACAGTTTTATGCTTTAGAAAACATTTAGGTCAGAATTTTTTTTGGGGGGGGGGCTTGGAACGGATTAGGGCATTTACATGGAAAACACGTCTCTACTTTCTTGTTAAGAAATTTCTTCCAGAGCCAATTAATTTCCTATCTCGTTAAGAAATTTCTTACAGAGCCAATTAATTTCCTAAGTAGAGATACTACTGTACACGAAAGTGCCGAAATAAAATAAAATAAAGCAATGATAGTTGACTCATTTTTCAGCTAACCCAGAACATGGCTGCTTTTGTCTCTCACTCATGACCAACCGATTGTGTTTGGAGCTTATACAAAGTCTGAGCAAATTCCACCGCAAATCAATCAATAACGAGATGCCGTCATTGACGGTAGGTGCATCGCAATATCCTGCGACCTGCTCGCGAAGGAGTGTTTGCTTGTGCTCTGTCAGAACCGGTGCGCACAAAGCCTGAATAGTTTGGACTGCATACAGACCAAACACAATAATACAATTGAAGCGCCTTTAAAAATTCACCCGCCGTGGCGTTCGAAAGTTATTGTGTAACCAGCGCAGGGGGAA